GTGCATTCTTTATAATGCAACCGAGTCAAGCCGACTCCGGAGGTGGCGGTATACACCTTAAAGTTGTTTGCAATCCGCCAAAAAACCGAGAGAAGAAGTTTCAGAAGCGTAGCGTCGTGCGTGCAGGCTCGCAGTTTTGTTATTGATTCGGGTTTAATTCGGGTATTAATTAACTTTAAAACATTAATATGTAGTTGTTACCTTCACTCCACAAACTGCAGCGACTAAAAACCAGGCCTTGTCCTTTCTGATGTTGTGCTTGTAGTAAGCGTTGGTTACATCATATAAAATAGTGTGTTTTTCCACTTCCATGATGAAAACCTTGTCGTCCATTGTGCGTATCGTAGTGGAGGTGTTGTGATGAAGAAGGGGGGTCTGCTAAATTAGTATATGTGGGGGATGCTCACCTTTTCACTTCCTGCGAGGGGGGGCTGCCTGCCGACCTTACGTTACGGCTGCGCCACGGCAAAAATAGGATTCATCCTAATTTTAGTGAATTAATTTCGGAAAAAGAAAAAAAAAAAGTTTGAGAAACACTGCGCTAGTGGATTGTCAAAGAAAAAAATGTCTATGCAAACGTTATTATTAATAATAATTTTGATTTTTTTACATTTTTATTTTGTAATCATCTCAAAACCCCCCACTTTGGGAACCCCTGGACTAGAGTGGCCGCGATCCTTACGACCGCCACGGCGCAGACGGACCCGGTGGAAACTGGGGGTAAGGCTTCGTGTCCTAGATTATATTTCCTACATCAGCTCCCCACGTTTTATACGAGCCAGCTTAAAGTGACCGTTTTAAACACGTTTGCTTTCTGTTATATTTTTGTCATTGCTAATCTGTGTTGTTGTTACCTGCAGGCGGACTGCTGTGTTTGGCCTGCCGCTCAGATGATCAACTTCTACTTCCTCTCACCCCAATTCCGAGTTGTGTATATCAACTTTGTCACTTTAGGCTGGGACACCTACCTGTCGTACTTGAAACACAGAGTAAGTCAGCCGCACAGGTGATGCAAAGTAAACAGCGTGGTTTTAACTTTTTTCAGAAAAGTTATTATTATTGAATTGGAAATTTCACACCAACTCAAAAGCGATCCAACAATTATTAATTGTCTTTCAACATTGACTACTGTACATATTCTGTCTTAAATAAGAAAGGAAGGCCTTTCTATAAAGCATTTCAAAACTCTTATCCACCATTTATGTGCTCATATTATGAATTTTGTCAGTTTGCTACTTGCTCAGTAGTAGAATAGTGAAGCAATGTTATTTATGTTGATGTGTGTTTTGGTTTCTTTTGTGTCGTCAGGATGACAGCCCCCACACTGAGCCTTTATCAGACGGCAGTGCTGTGGATGTACAGCAGGAAGCACTCCCACCGTCTAAACCTCTGGAGAAGAAGAATAATTAGAGTTGGACTGAATGCTTGACTCTTATGTCATATATATATATATATATAGGAGGCCAAGAATATTTTGCTGTTTTTATCAAACTTATTTTTCGGCCTTTGCAAAATTGCAATACTGAACACAAAACAGATTTATTTCTTCTCAAACAAATGGCTCCTCTCTCAAGTTTAAAACGACCACCTGTTCCTGCATGAACTCAGAGGAGTTTTGGATGCTAAAGTGGAAGTGCTGGAACACTTTTTTTATTTATATCTGAATGATATGCACTCCTTTAAGAATATTCAGGGAAGAAAAGCTGCTTTACTGCCTGTCATGCGATTTCCTCAGATGGCATGAGTGTAACCGCCGCCATTAACATGTCATAACATGGATGGAGGGGTCAAACAAACACAACAGAAGCTGACCACTTTGTTTCCAGTGTGTTCCAGACATCAACTCTGACATATTAGTGTACTTAAATTACATGATACTTTTTTACATAATGTTATTTTGACCTAACTATCATCTTTCCATACCTAATCAAGTCGTAAGAATTGACAACATTGCCCTGTTTTAAACGCGAAATGTTCATATGTATGTAACAACATGTTGGTATTGAGAACATGACGTTAAACGACACGAGGTAAAATGCGTTCAATGACACGGTAAATGTTGTTTAAGCAGCACGCTTTACGCCTTACCATGAGCTCATGTTGCGTTTTTAGTGTGAAGCTTTTGTGAAGATTTCAACTGTCAAATTTCCAATAGAGTGGCATTCCTTTATATTTTTTATATTTCTCGTTTGACATAAAATATAAAACAGCTATGATTTTATTATCATATTTACGTGTGCTATCCTTGCCTTAATATGTAGACTGGTGCTACAACATGTTTTCATGCCAAATAACCCTGTCTGCAGTTACTCCCTTTGAGGTACCGATAAAAATACCTCACTTTGTGATTACGCTCATATTCTATAAAATAAAATATTTACTAAATTGTTATCATATCAAACTGATTCCTCAGATAAATGTGTGGACTTGATTCAAGACACGCTGAAGATGTGGAATTCATTTATTTTTCAAACTGCAGTGTTTTTTACTATATCGATGTGTGACTTGATGAACTGTACTGTAACTCTACAGCTGTTGATTTATGAATGAAGCACTCTTAGTTTTGGCATATCAGGTGAATAATCAGTATTTTTGTTGATAGACATGATGTTGACATGAAAGTGGAAATCTGTGAAGCAATACTGTAAATATATTTAATTTCTTTGTTCAAATCATCTTTGATGTTGCTGTGTGCTTTTCCATCATTTCGAAACTGCCAATTATCTTTAGAACATATTTATACATACTAATCTGTGTAGAAACACAAAAAAGAAATCTGAAATCTGATGAATTGAAATATAAATATACATTGTGTTGGATTCAAAACATATAGTCGTTTACAATCTTTTTTTACAAAAATCACATTTATTATCAAAGTACCAAAAGTGAAATACAATGGCCAATTTCAGAATCATATGTTACTGAATCAAAAATAATAATACATTCATATGAATATCACTTAAATGTGTTAGTTGGAAAGGTGGGAATGCTGTTGTAATGGTAGTTTCACCTACAGTAATACATAACGTATCAGTGTATATATATTTTGTGTTATATGAATCTAAAAAGTGGTAGCTTAAAGGATCAAATAAATGTAGTGGTGTCTAAACATAGTGACGCTGAATGGGTTTCAAAACTATGGTGAAATATGTGGGGTGCAAATGTGTAACAGTCATGCTAATCAGCTCTATGTGCATTTGAGTTACTTGTTTAAACCTGTGTTGCTGCTATGCCATGTCACCATTTGTAAATACATATATGAGCTTAATGCGGTGACCTGGTTAAACATATATATTTTAAAACACCATTTCAGCAGTAGAAGCAACAAGTAAAGTAGCATCATGCCACTTTAAATCCAGAACGAATAGAGGGCATTGTTCAAACATTGACTTATCAGCTGGAAAGATTTGATATGCTCAAACGCCGCGTTTAGACCACTCCTTCTCAGTCTCTCTACACATCCTGCAGTCAAGGATGTAAATGTGGTTGAATGTTTATGACTGCCAGCCTTTTCCACCCTCAACATGACTGCAGCAATGCACCTCACTGTGCTGGTGTCCCTGTTTGCAGTGACTTTCTGTGAAGGTAAGCAGCATTTCCCACTTTTACCTGGAAACTATATGCAGGCCTATGTGTATATGTGTTTCATTTGTTTAGTAATTTGACTTTAACGTCATCTTTAAATCTTATAAAGATGCAAAGTCATGCAAACGGGGAACTACCAGCAGTGAGACGCAGGTTGGTTGAAGGTAGCTTCCTCAATATGCAGGAACATATTGAACTTAGTATACTTTCCACACCTATAACAGACATTTCTGAGACCATAACTGTTTTAATAATTTGAAGCGTAAGCCCTGTACTGAGAGAAAAATATTTATAATCTTACATTTATATTCCAAAGTATAAATGTCAAAGTTTTGTTTATGTAACATAACAGATTATTAAACTAAAGAAGGAACTGGTATTGCTAAATCTCAGAAGGAAGTACATGGGAAGGTCACGTCTGAGTTGAGACTTAAGCAAATATTTAACCAGTGAAAGTTATCTTGAGCTGAACCTACTGCGTCTGCTTCTGCAAACATTTAAAGAACAAACAACATGCCAGATGACCACCACCAGGTGCATCATCATCATTAGCGGACAAAACTGTGCGTTAAAAATAGGAAAAAGAGATCCATTAGCTTACACAACAACCAATTGAGGTCCATTTTAAAGCTATTGTGGAGCTAATGTTCATTCATCAGGAGAAGGAGCAGTTTCGTAATGCATTACAAATGTGAATCAAGTAAATATAAGTTTATTTAGTAAGACGCACTAATTTATCCAAAACTCAAGGTGCCCAATGCCCCTGTGAATGTATTTATTCTATAATATAATCATATATTTCATAAAATAAATAGTACATTCTCTATGCCGTATACAGAGCAGAGGTGTGGTTAAATGAGACTATTAACAGTATGTATTCACCTGGGTGGGGCTACAGGACCTGATGGCTTCTGCTAACACACCAACAAGGCTGCTGCTTGGATTAGTGCTTTGTCTGCAGAGCTTTGTCTGCAGAGCTTTGTCTGCAGAATGTTACATTTACTCCGCAAATGAAACCCAGACAAACATATTTCATATAGAAGATATGTAGAAAATAAACGTATTCGAGATACGTTAATAACGAACGTAACGTGGGAGAAAATACGTTTCTAGCTGAACGTAATTGAGAATGCAGTTTAGTTCTGCGGGAACGTAATTTTTAGGAGAAAGGGTTGTTATAGGACGTATTAAGCGCTTGAA